GTGATATTTGAGTACCTACAATTCACCAATAATGAGCGAGTATCATGCACTATCTTCATGCCGACTAAAGACGCCCGCACCTAGTGGAAGAGCGCATGATTAATGATAGATATACCTCATTTGACTTGGGATGGATTTAAGGAGGTCTTTTATAATAAATACTTCACAATGGACATGAAAGCTAAGAAAATCCAAGAATTTATAGAACTAAAACAGGAGGGTATATTTATAGGTGAATATGTATGAAAGTTTGGACATGAAAGCCAAGAAAATCCAAGAATTTCTAGAACCGAAACGGGAGGGTATATCCATAGGTGAATATGTATGAAAGTTTGAACGAGGTGCTTGCTTGGCTCTTTCATAGCCGAGGATGAAAATTTAAAAAAGAATCGATTCCTAGGAGGGTTACACCTAAGGGTTTAGAGTATGGTGCGAATGTCGATCGTCCGGACCTTTCCGAAATGGTAGACAAGGCCATGCTGGCGAGATGAAGATCGAGAGAGAGATAGCAAGGGAGATACGAGCAAAAGAGGGGAGCATTTAAATTCGAGCCTCTTTGTCCGGACTAGTGAGACGAGGTCCACCCAAGAAGTTCACTTAAAGTGGTGGCTTGGGCAATACAAGAGTAGCCGGACCAGCACCATATACCTTGAGCTCGCTATCAAATAATCGGTCGGGATAGACGATGAGTACCTAACCTCGATGCACTAAGTATGAGAGGTTTGCATTGGAGAGTGTTGATCAAATGTGAGGACTTGCTATATCTATCACAAGCCGGGGCATATATCTTACAACTCCCACAAGTGCGAGAAATCAAGACCGGGAAGAGTACCAACTCGGGTGTATACAATAACACAAGAGGAGGCTGATTGGAGAGATGCAATATTAATTTATGGTAACATCTCAATTTTCGACTTACTTACTTATGTTTTGATTAATTCTAGTGCTAGACATTCATTCATATCAAAAACATTAGTAAAAAGCCTCGATGTCAAACCCGAGACATTAGGCTGTAGGGTGTCTTATAGTTGTCCTTTCCATAGAACTTATGGAGTTAACAAGTATAGTAAAAGAGTGTCTAATATAGATTCAAGATAGGAGTCTAGAGGCTGATTTGATAGTTTTAGATCTCTAAGATTTTGATTTGATCTTGGGAATGGATTGGTTGACAAGGCATGATCCACTATAGATTTCGAGGTAGATGAGTGACTTTTGACTTACATAGGAATCAATAGTTAGAGTTTAAAGCTAATTCAACATGTCAACCCCTACCGATCATCTCGGCTTTAAAGGCTCGAAAAATGCTATGACAAGGCTATTTGGGGACCTAGTGTATGTGATAGATCGCTAGGTGGAACAAAAGTCAAAACCGAAAGACATCGAGGTCGTGTGGGAGTATTTAGATGTATTTCCTAAAAGGTTGACTAAGATGCCACGTGAGAGGGAGATAGAATGAGATTGATCTAGAGCCATGCACGACCCTAATTTCAAAGACTCTCTATCAAATGGCATTGATCGAGTTAAAAGAGATAAAGACACGACTGCAAGACTTATTAGATAAGGGATTTATACGTCTTAGTTCCTCACCTTGGGGAGCTCCGGTATTATTGGTAAAGAAAAAGGAGGGGAGCCTGGAGACTATGTATTGACTATTAGGAGTTGAACCAAGTGACAATAAAAAATAAGTATTCATTACCCTAAATAGATGATTTATTTAATCAATCACGAGGCACGACGGTGTTCTTAAAAATCGATTTACAATTGGGGTATGAACAACTAAGGGTAAGGTCGGAAGATGTAAAGAAAATGACATTCGGAACATGATATGGCCATTATGAGTTCCTAGTAATTTCGTTCGGATTGATTAACGCCCCAACCACTTTTATGGACCCGATGAATCGAGTCTTTAGAGAATTTTTGAATAAATTCATCATCGTGTTTATTGATGACATCCTAGTCTATTCTAAAAGTAAAAAAAAAACATAAAAGGCATTTATGAGCTACCTTGTGGACGTTAAGGGAGCAATAGCTATATGCAAAATTCCCAAAGTGTGAGTTTTGGTTGGAACAAATAGCATTTCTAGCCCACGTGGTAACAAAGGAAGGTATCATAGTGGATCCAAAGAAGGTAGAAGCTATTCAAAGCTGGCCTACCTTGAAGAATGTATTAGAGGTGCAAAGTTTCTTAGGCTCAGTCGGTTACTATCGGAGATTTGTCGAAGACTTTGCTAAGATAGCAAGCCCTTGACTAACTCTGATGAAGAAAAGCGTTAAGTTTCAATGGATGAATGCTTGTGAAAAGAGCTTTCAAGAATTGAAACAAACGTTAGTTACAACCCCAGTACTAACCATTTTGTTCGAAGATGGGAACTTTGTGGTGTATAGTGATGCCTCCAATAATGGGTTAGGAGCGAGTGTTAATGCAAAATGGAAGGGTGGCCTATGTTTCATGAAAATTGAAAGAATACGAGCGAAATTATCCAACGCATGATGCGGAGTTAGCGACAATTATCTTTGCCTTCAAGATTTGGCAACATTACTTATATGGAGCCAAATGTGAGATATATACGGACCATAAGAGTATATGGTATATCTTCACACATATGGAACTAAATATGAGGCAAAGGAGGTGGTTAGAGTTGGCGAAAGACTATGAATGCATAATCAATTACCATCCGGGAAAGACCAATGTCGTTGTTGATGTCTTGAGTACAATGATGCAAGTAAACCGATTGCTTGATAATGAGGGATTTATAGAAGTTAGAAGTAAAGATCATCCCTATGGGCTATGGGAGCATCATATCAACTTTGTTAGTCTAATCGACTCTACAAGAAAGAATTTAGGTTAGGCAACAAACAAACGAAAGGGTGAAAGAATGAAGGAAAAGTGTAGAGGCTGAGAAGGAGTCTAACTTTATGGTAGATGATAAGGGATTGGTTAGATTCGGAGGAACATTGTGTGTTTCGTTGGTAGCGAATTTGAAGGAAAAAATATTGAGACGAGCACACACATCCTCGTACTTGATACACCCGGGAAGTACTAAAATGTATCGAGATTTGAGATAGAGTTATTGGTGGTCGGGAATGAAAAAAGACATTATGAACTATGTGGCAAGGTGTCGGATTTGCCAACAAGTGAAGGCCGAGCACCAAAGACCGATAAGAATGTTAAAACCTCCGGCAATTCCAAGATGGAAATGGAAGGGTATCATGATGGATTTCTTCATAAGATTGCCAAGATCGGAGAAGGGGTCGGATGCCATTTGGGTAATCATGGATAGGTTGACTAAATCGGCACACTTCTTTTTAGCTAAGAACACTTATAGTCTAAGCTAGTATGCTCAATTATATTTGGATGCAATTGTGAGGTTACATGGGGTCCTAGTCTTAATCATGTCGGATCGAGATCCTAAATTCACCATAACCTTATAGAAGAGTTTGCATCAAGCCATGGGAACAAGCCTAACTTTAGCATGGCTTACCATCCGTAAACCGATGGACAATTTAAATGGGTCATTCGGATTCTCAAAGACATGTTATGAGCATGCATACTCGATTGGTCTAAGAGATGGGAGAAATACTTACACCTTACGAAGTTTGCCTATAACAATAGCTATCAGTCATCCATTGGGATGGCTCCTTATGAAGCTTTGTATGGATGAAGGTGTAGATCCCCAATACACCGAGATGAGGTATGGAAAAGAAAGCTATTGGGGCTAAAATTGGTGCAACAAATGACTAAGGTGGTGGCTAAGATTCACCAACGAATGAAGATGACCCAAAGTATACGGAAAAGCTATGTCGACAAAAGAAGAAGGGATCCGGAGTTTGAAATTGGTGACTATGTTTTCTTAAAGATTTCACTAATGAAAGGCGTACTTCAATTTGGGATAAAAGGAAAATTAAGTCCATGATATATTAGACTATTTGAGATACTTGATCGCATAGGTGATATGGCGTATCGATCGTTATTACCGCCATCCTTGTCGAGAGTACATGATGTCTTTCATGTGTCTATGTTAAGAAAATGTATTGGAGAGCCTAGCTAGATTTTGGATATAGTGCCATCGAGCTTGACCTTAGACTTAACATATGAGGAAAGACCAATCCAAATTCTTGATCGATGAATTAAACGCCTAAGGAATAAAGATATTACTTTAGGTAAAGTTTTATGGGAGAATCATAACCTCGAAGAAATGACACGGGAATTGGAGGATGAAATGAAAGAGAAATACCAAGAGTTATTCGTGTAAGCCAATTTTGAGGATGAAATTTCTTTTAAGGAGGGGAGAAATGTAATCCCCGTGAAACTCCTTAGCTATATAGCTATACATGCTGATATATTATATCTATATATATGAAGTATTAGGTGTGATTTACATGCCAGTTTAAATTTTTTAGAGATAGTAACATGCTTTGTGTTTATGTGAGGAGTTATGAAATTATTTCGACACGTCGAAATTTTAATTCTTGGGAAGAATATCTCCTAGAATAACCATAATTATATGGGTATAATTTATGTGTCATTTCTTTTATAATTATGGTGTTAAAATATTTAATGTTTATGGATGTGTACATAGGAATCACCTTTTTGGAAATTTAACTAGCCATGATTTATTTTTTTCTTAATGTTATAATTAAAATGACCATGCAAGTGAAAGAATGACCCAAACAAGGTGCATGGCCGAATTTTTGGGAACCAAATGAGGTAAGAAAGTTGGTTAGTTTAGTTACCTTTTAGTTTTCATCTTTAGTTAGTGATGTGACATAAAATATTCTACCATACTTCCAATTGTACTATCCCACTCCTTTTTGGAAAGTCCAACATGCCAACTTGCCTCCCATTTAGTCCCATCATTTGACATTAGTTTACCATAAATTGTTGACACTTGGAATGCTAATAAATATAAGAATCGAGCTACTATAACAACCTCTTACAAAGTTTGTGCTGAAAAAGAAATCACGATCTTTGGTGCTAGTATTGGCTATGCACCAATATTCTAGTCCATTTCCCTTAATGGCTCTATAATGTAAGCTAGCAAGAAGTAGCTAGCCGGGTCCAATGTCATTGGCTTGAATTGCTCTTTGAATGGATCCTTTTCCGTATTTTTGCATTTTACTTTTTCCCATGACTTTGAGTCCGTAATCTGGACTAGCCTAGTTTCCATTGCCTTAACTATTTTCTTCTTTAGTTTTTGCCTTTTGCTTTATAAATTTGTTGACTTTGTCAAGTAGTAATTTCACTCTACTAAGCTACCTCGGTGACATGAATCTACTTCACCGGAAAGGAAAGATGTCCAAGGTCATCCGAGTATGGAATGAATTAGAGACATGTTTCACACAAAGGGGAATTGTTAGATTTCTAAGTTTGATGAGTTTTAAATTTCTTTAATTCTCACATATTTGTGCCGCTTCTAATTTAGTATGTTTAACTTTCAAAAGCAATACAATCTACTATGATCTTTCAATTGATGTTCAACATGATCATTCTTTCCATGGTGTTCATCATATTCTAATCAATAATTTGACTGGTGCTTGTCAAGATAGAATTCCAAAACTCTACATAAAATAAAAATGGCAAGAAGTAGCTAGCAAGGCCACTATCTCAATATGCAAAGGTAGAAATATGGTACATGTCATTGCCCTCATGCATATGAAAGGTGTATGGCTTTGCATATTTGGCATTTTGGTTAGCCCCATTTAATAACGACTCGTATTCAATGTATGTACGTTCATGCCGGAGAAAGCATCGTGGAGGCTTATCGCTCGGATCCTAGAATCCTCACACATCGGGACTACAAATCATCATATTTGTTTCTAAATGTGCCATAAATTGAAGCATACTTGTGTTTCTTTTCATTTTTGTTTTTGCCAAGTGAAAAACGGCACTCATGTGATTCATTTCTTGTTTCACTTACGATCCCAGTACGTATGGTCAAGGTGATGGTGGCACATACAAAACAAATAATTTCTGCATTTTATTCCATCTCATCTCTTATCACAAACAGAGACATAAATGTTTTTTGCAGTGTGTTAGTACTTGATGAAAAGTCCATTACCAAATGTAGGAAAGTAAATCTAGATGCAATATTTTATCTTATCGAATCAAGAACAAAAACAAATAGTATATATTAATTTATTTAAAATTCACAAAACTAATCTATTATAACTCAATTTACACGTATTGTATTAGTGTTTTTGTTTTTTGACTCTCCACGATATTTTAAACTCAAAACTATAGACTAATTCCTTATTATTTTGTCGAACACATAAAACAAAAATAATTATCTAGATAATTTTTTACATATACGAAAACTTAAATTAGAGACCACATGCATAATCTATTATAACTCTATATACGTGCACAATATTAGTGTTTTTTTTAAATCACCGGATACACCTAAACAAAGAAGCATGTTTCTATATTTATAGTAGTTTTAACCAATCAATAACAAGTTTTAATTAGGAAATTAACTTTAGTAAGGATTAATGACAAGTCTCATATCAAATAGAAAGTTAACATTTATTAGAAGATTAAATCTTTCCAACATAAGGATAAAGATTGAAGATTAATACTCATTTGATTTGATTCCAACACGGTGAAGACAACCTAAAAGACGAGTCCATTCAAATGTGGTATGTAGCAATGGAAACAATTTCACGTACCACGATTTGAAATATTGACACGTATATTTTGCATCGATTAATTAGCGTCTTAACAAAAGATAATAGTGGCTTCGGGACTTATTATAAGAAAGAACTAGATTCACATTAGGTTAATTTGTACTTGCCAAATAACTTGGCTAAACCATAATCGAGACAATTAAAAGTAATCAAAATGATACCAAATAAATTTAGGGTTTATTTGAAAAGGTTAAAAATATATACGGATTTAGGATCTTTATATTTAAGGAAAGAGAGAAGAGGAGAGAGACAAAAAGGGAGAGAGAGAAAGTATGGAAGCAAGAGGAGAAAGAAGGAGAGGGGGAGGGTAGGAGGGGGAGAGAGAGAGAAGGGAGAGGGGGAGAGAAAGGGAGGGAGAGAAATAGAGAGCGTAAGAGAGAGGGATAGAGAAAGGAAGATAAAAGGAGAGAGAATGAGAAGAGAGGGAGAGAGGGGAGAGAGGGAGAGAGGAGAGAGTAGGAGAGATAGGGAAAGAGAGGGAGTAAAGAGGGAGAGAGAGGGAGAGAGTCAAAGAGAGTGAGAGAGAGTGAGAGTGAGAGAGATTAGGAGAGAGGGAAAGTGAGGAAGAGAGAGGGAGAGAAAAGAAGAGGGAGAGAGAGGAAGGGAGAAGGAATTAGAGAGGGAAGAAGAGAGAAGTGGAATGAGAGAGTGAGAGAGAGTGGGGAAGAGAAAGGGGGAGGGAGGGAGTGATAGAGAGAGGGAGAGATTGAGGGAGAAGGGGTGAGAGACAAAATGAGAGAGGGAGAAGGGAGAGAGAGAAAGGGAGAGGGAGAGGGGGAGAGGGAGAGAGGGAGAGGGAAAGAAAGTGATGGAGAGAGAAAGAGAAGGGAAAGAGAAGAGGGGGATATAGAGGGAGAGACATTGAAAAGGAGAGAATGAGGGGGATTAGGAGAAAAAGGTGAGAGGGAGAGAGAGAGAGGGTGAGGGATAGAAAGGGAGAGAGGGAGAGACAAGGAGGGATAGAGAGAAGTAGGGAGAGACTAGAGAAGAAAGAGGGGGAGAGAGATAAAAAGAGAGATATAGAGAGGGAGTGGGGGAGAGAGGTGAGAGTAGGAGAAAGATACGAAGGGAGAGAGGGAGAGACATATAGAGAGAGGGGGAGATAGATCAAAGGAGATGGAGAGGGAGAGAAGGGAAGGGAGAGGAAGGGAGAGGAGAGGTAGAGGAAAAGAAAAAAAGGAAAAAAGAGGGAGAGAGAAAAAGACAAAGAAAGAAGGGGAAGAGAGGGTGAGGTAAAGAGAGGGAGATAGGGAGGGGGAGAGGGAGAGAGAAAGGGAGAGGGAGAGATAATGGGAAAGACAATGAGAGAGAGAAAGAGGGAGAGGGAGAGGGAAAGGGAAGGAAAGAGAAAGAGAGAAAGAGGGGAGAGAGGGAGGGGAGAGAGCAAAGGAGAGGAAGAGAAAGGGAGAGAGATATTGGAAGATAGAAGGAGAGAGAGAGAGATAAAAAGAGAGAGAGGGAGAGATGGAGATAGAGATAAGGGGGAGGAAGAGGAGGGGGAGAGAGATGAACAAGGGGGATAAGGAGAGTTAAGGAGAGAGGGGAAGAGAGAAGGAGAGAGGGAGACTAGGAGAGAGAGGGAGGAAAAAGGAGAGGGAGAAGAAGAGAGAGAGGGAGAGGGAAGGAGGGAAAGGGATAGAGAGAAAGAGGGAGAAAAGGAGAAAGGGAGAGGGAGATAGAGAGAGGTAGAATGAGGGAAAGAGTAGGAGAGGGAGGAAGAATGAAAAAGGGAGAGAGGGAGGTAGAGGGATATAGAGGTAGACAGAGGGAGGTAGAGTGAGGGAGAGAGTGGGAGAGAGAGGGAGAATGAGAAAGGGAGAGAGGAAGAGAGGGAGAGAATAAGCGAGGGGGAGGGATAGAGGGGGAAAAGAGGCAGAGAGAGTGTGGGAGAAAGAGAGAGGGATTGGAAGAGAGGATGAGGAAGAGAGAGGGAGAGTGAGAGAGAAGGAAAGAGTAGGAAAGAGAGAGATGGAGAGAGAGAGAGAGAGAGAGGGTGAGAGAGGGGGAGAATGAGATAGAGTGAAGGAGAGATAAAGGGAGAGAGAGCGAGAGGGAGACAGGGAGAAAAGGAGAGACACATATAGATAGGGATAGGGAGAGAGATAAAGAGAAAGATTAGAGAAGAGAGAGAGGGAGAAAGGGGAGAGAGAAAAGGAGGAAAAGACGGAAGAGGGAGTGAGATAGAGGGGGAGAGAGCGAGAGGGAGGGAGGAAGAGAGGGAGAGAGAAAGGGAGAAGGAAAGGATAGAGAGTGAAGGGATATAGAGGATAAAAGAGAGGGAGAGAGGAAAGGAGAGAGAAGGGGAGAAGGAAGGGATAGAGAGTGAAGGGATATAGAGGATAAAAGAGAGGGAGAGAGGAAATGGGAGAGAGGAGAGAGGAGAGAGGGAGAGGTAAAGAGAGGGAAAGAAAGAAGGAGGGACAAAAGGAGAAGGACAGAGGGAGAGAGAGAAGGGTAGATGGAGAGAGAAAGAGAGGAGTGAGAGAGAGGGAGAGAATAGGTAAGAGAGGGAGAAAGAGGGAAAGAGGGAGAGGGAGAGGGAGAGGAAAGAGAGCGAAAGGGAGGGAGGGAGAGGGAGAGAGGGAGTAGGAAAGGGAGAGACAATGAGAGGTAGAGGGAACCGGATGGAGAGAGAAGGGGAGAGAGATAGAGTTGGGGAGAGGGTGGGGAGAAATAGGGAGGGAGAGGGGGAGAAATGAAGAGAGAGAGAAGGGGCATAGAAGGAGAGGGAGATAGAGCAAAAGGGAGGGAGAAAAAGAAAGGGAGAGGGAGAAGGAGAGAGGGGAAAATGGAGTAGTTGGAGGGAGAGGGAGAGAGATGGAAGGAGAGGGAGAGGGAGAAGGAGAGAGGGAAAATGGAGTAGTTGGAGGGAGAGGGAGAGAGATGGAAGGAGAGGGAGAGGGAAAGAGAGAGGTTGAGAAGAAGGGAGCGAGAGAGAGAGAGAGATTGATGGAGGTAGAGAGATAGACGAGAGAAAGGGAGGGAGAGAGGGAAAGAGAGGGGGAGGGAGGGAGAAAGAGAGGGAGGGATAGAGTAAAGGGAGAGAAAGAGAGAGGGAGAGGGAAAGGGAGAGGGAGAGGGAGATGTGACACCCCCTTCCTTGGCCCATTTGTTAAATACCCAAAAGGAGTGACTAGGCAAGGAGCACGTCACGCCGACACGACAAATTTTCAAATTAACCTTAAACACATATGTGCTTATACATTAAGGATTTATCATACAATGAAGCACATACAAGACAATTTACATAATATTAGTAATATGGTGGAAGAAATTACAAAATTTATTTATAATACTATCAAACCGTTTATCGACACCCCAACCCTAAAATTACAATCAAAAGAAATTTTGGTACACTTGTGTCACACGTGAGCCTTTTTGGAGGACCCGTATCATCCCTACTACTTTGACTCGTTCCTTTTATAACATGAAAATAACAATAGGGTGAGCCGAAGCTCGGCAATTAGGGTGATGTACGTGATATGTAATGAAATTTTGTTTCCCATTCTACCCAT